CGTGATTCCCTCGTGACAAGCGAAGTCGACGGAGGAGCAAGGTTCCGTGTCACTAACTTGATCATTCCAGTGATTCACTTAACAACTGGGACAAGAAGAAAGGTCATAAAAGAGAGCCAAACTCACTCGACCAATGTTTCACTTAACAACCGAAATTCTGGAATCCGGTGCGTTTGTCAGACGAGGGCCACCCGTCGCATCCCACATTTCTCTCAAAAATTTCTACTTGGAAGAAACTACGGTACAATTTACATTTTTTTTCCCTTTTTCGTCTCAAGCTTGTATTCTATTTGCATTCTGTGGGCTTTGTAAAAATAAGGATAAATAAAACAACTTGGCAGAAAACCAACACAGATTTTGTGGTAATCTTTTTCTTTTTTTTCTCTCCTCCTCTCGCCTAAAATAGGATTAAAACCCAGACATTGCTTTATTATTACTTTTTTTTTTTTTAAAGAAAAAAAATATCAGACAAGATTTAGAAGGATGGAGTTGAATCCAGTCAGGGAGAATGAGATAGTTCGTTTTCTAAAAAGGCCTAACTCAGGGGTCAGCAAACTGCGGCTCCGGAGCTGCATGTGGCTCTTTCCTCCCTCTGCTGCGGTTCCGTCACCGGTCAGCGCCACAATTTTGAGAGAAGCTTCCGGCCGGGGTGGGGGGGAGAGAAGCCCAGTGCGCCAGGAGAAGACTCTATGGCAAGGGGAAGGTTTTCCAGTGGTCTCCACAATTGATAGGGCTTTCGGTTATGACAGGCCGAGGAAAAAGGACGCCGTGCTAGGAGGAGACTCTATGGTGGGGGAAGCTCCAGAATTGAACAGGGGGCTTCCGGTTAGGACCTTGGTGGCTCCCGGCGATTTCTTTTCTGTGGGAAACGGGTCCAAATGGCTCTTTGAGTGTTTACGTTTGCCGACCCCTGGCCTAACTGATTAATGTGGATTTTAGTGGAATTTACTCTCAACCAATGTTGGATACAGGTAGTCCTCGACTTACGACAGTTCATTTAGTGACTGCTCAGTAACGGAAAAAAGTGACTTTTTCTCTTCATTACTTACAGCCACGGTGGCATCCCCATGGTCACGTGATCACAATTCCGATGACTGACAACGGACTCATATTCACGATGGCCACCGTGTCCTGGTGTGTGTGTGTGTGTGTGTGTGTGTGTGTGTGAGTGTGTGTGTGTGTGTGTATCAGGAGATCCCTCTC